ATTTGAACTTGAATAAGCTCAAGAAGTGGCGAGGAAGTAGCTGGTATATTTGGTGGCACTGATGGAAACTGCAGCTGCATTCAGTCTGGTTAGCTCATGAAAGGAGGAACTGTGTCTCCTCTCCTGTGCCTGCAGGAAGCCAGCCGGGTGTGGGCTGTCACTGTGGGACTCAGTGAGAGACCAGGTGGCTCCTCTTGGACCAGGAGAGGCCACTGTACACTGCTAACGGGGAGGCAGGTTCCCCTCTGCTGGCCTGTGCAGGCTCCTTGCAGGGGCGATGGTGAGCTGAGGGTGTGCCCTGGCCCTCTTCCCCATACCTTGCGTGTCAAGAAGTCGTGGAGGGAAAGCAGGAAGTAACCACATGTGTTTAACTTGACCCTTAGGTGTGGCTGTGTTTCTCATCTCGCTCAGCTCAAAGAGCAAGAACCAGAGGGAAGTGTGCAGTGTTAAAACCTGGTAACAACACGACAGTTGGCCAGCAATCGCATGTGCAGGGGGTGCAGGTACTAGGCTGGGAGAGACAGGCTAGGCCAGAGCGAGACGCCTCTTTTCTCTCAGCCTCAGTTTCCCCATCTGTTATACGTGTTTGACAATCATCAGGGGTCCTTTTGGTTGCCTTAGGCTGCTGTACTAGAGAGGAAAGAAGCAGAAAGGAGAAGTGGGGAGGAAGCCTCAGTGTGCGTTTGTCAGTAGACTGAGAGTGACTTTGAGGGGTCTAATTCCCAGCACCCCATCAGAGCCCCGAGCTCATAAAGCTGGACAATTAGACGGAAGTATGAGGAGCAGGCTGGCAGACAGATGGCCTCCATGAGCGAGCAGCTCCAGCAGACATCACTGCTGCAGCCTCCCAGCTGTAAGCTCCTGTTGGAGACCCCAAAGCCCGGCTGCTGGCCTGGAAAGTGGGGTTCTCTGCCTGTGTTTGGTTTACCTGGGCACAGCAGTCCTCTTCTGGGGAGTTGCTGGGGGAAGTCCAAGCCCCTGCTTCCCAAGCAGAAGAGCCCCAGAGCCTACAGATCCACAAAAGCAGAGCAGAGTCCTTCCCGAGAGCCCAGCTTCAGCCTGTGTCTCTACAGTCAGTCTGCAGGGAATGTGAGTCCAGAGCCTCGTGGAGCCAGAGGACACATATCTGCTCAAGGCAGAGGACAAGGGAAAAGCACTGCAAAGAAGAGCCGCATCTTGCCCTATGGAGTAAGAAGCTCAGCCTTCTGAACAAGGCCTCCTCCCGGCCATGTCCCAGGTCCAGGATGAGGGCATGACAAGTGTAGGCATCCACGTAAGCCTTGCGGACATTGCTTTTCTGATTCAAAATTGCTCTCACATCAGCCTAAAATGCATTTCTCCATCTTCCAAATATCTAAGTCTACTCACTCTTTAAGCTAATCAAATTGTGTCTCCTCCAAGAAGCTTTCCCAGCTTATACTAGCTCACATAATATTCCTGTTACAAAATCTTGCACTTAAACTTTCTCTCCTCGTCTCACACGTGTTTCATTTTTCACTGCCCTTCCTAACACACTAATGGTCCACTGTAAGAGGAAATTTTTGAAAGTCACCAACATTTCAAAAGAAGTATGTTCTGTATTCTCATACCACTTGCATTCCACATCTTCATTTTACAGTTGGGGAAACTGAGGCTTAAAGAGAGGATGCACTCGCTCTGAAGTTCTACCTGAGTTCACACAGCAAGCCAATGACAGGGCTGGCATAGAGCCCACAGCGCCACAATCTCAATCTCGCAGCCAATTCTGAGTGTTTTCTGGAACCTCTTTGACAGATGGTTTCCGTCTGCATGGATGCCTGAAGTTCCTAGGAGCTCAGCCCTGCAGAAGGCAGATTATGCAGTGCTGGACAGAACCCCAGCCTCTTCTAGCAAGCAAAAATTTTGCTTCATTGCAGCCTCCTCCCACTGATCCATTTTTGTCATTCATTCACTTGTTTGGTCTCTCATTCATTCATTCATTCATTCATTTGTTAAACCACTTACTGAGTGCCTGCTTTGTGCTAGGTGAGTTAAATAAATGCATCTTGCCCCTCAGAGTCAAGACTGTTGCATGATGTATGAAATCCTTAATCTGAAACTGAGTTCCAAGAGGGCAGAGTCACATCTGTGTTCTCTCCCTGTATCTTCAGGCGAACTACGGTGAGTAGCACTGCTAAGGTGCCAGTCAGTACTTACGAACTCAGAGAGGAATAATACGTGACACTGATGTGAAACAGGAAAAGGGTCGTTACGGATGGGAGTAACAAAGAGAGAACAGCTAGTTCTGCATGGGGAGAGGAAAGGAACAGTTGAGGCGAGCTTTCCTGAAGGGTGGCCTTTGATCTACGTGAAGGGAAGGATGTGGTTTTAGCAGTCAGGGGAAGTATGGAGAGCTCAGTGGGAACAGAGGTGCACCTCGGAGAGCAGGGTCTACTTGGACACCACTAAACTCTTCTGTTTGGTGTGATTGGCAGGCAGGGATGGGAAATAGAAAGGAGTGAGGCAACTAGAGACAGCAGGGTCACAAAGGGCCTTGAACCCTAAGCTAAGATATCCAGACTTGGCCATAAGGTGATGAGAGGCAACAACGATTTCTAGGAGGTGAGTAACAAGATCCCACAATGCATTATTAGCAAGATCACTATGGTGACCGCATGTGGAATGCATTCAGCCTCCTCTCACCTCATGTGGGGACCCATCAGGAAGCGGGTCCAATTGTCCAGGTGAAAGATGATTACAAGGCAGCCAAAAGACCAATCATTTTCCAGCTGAGTGGTAATTGGGCTTTCCAAATGCAGTCCCAAGGTCGTCAGTGTCCCAACAATATTTCTTCCCTACTGCTGGCTCACCCTGTGTGAGCAGAGTAAGCAGCTTACAGCTATCCTGCTATCATTCTTGGGCACCTCTGAGCACATCATGGTGGTCAGCTTCTTGGTGGGTAGAGCAGTGGTTCTGCATGAAGATCTGACACCTTTTTTCTCATCCTTTCTCCAAGCCACCATCTTCTTCCAGATAGCCCCAAACCTGCCTTCTCAATTCCTCTCCTGCAAGCCAGAGTATAGGGTTGGCCACATTCTTAGCAAGATGGCCTCCCTGCCTCTCAGGCCCAAATTGATTAATCATCACTTGATTCTAGCTATCAGCTCTGTTGCAATTGGCATATTTATTTCTAATCAGCTCTTAAAAATGGCATCATTCAAAGGTGCTTAACCACATTACTTAATTCTCAGCCTGTATTGCTATTGATTTCAAATATTCTCCTCAAGATATGGCTCATCATTCAATGCAGAAGTCTGTTTATATAATAATCTTATCTGGTTACTAAAATCTGTGAAATCTCTTCAATTGCCTCTAATGCAAGATTGGAGGCTGGTTGCTAAATGAGTCAATTTTACTTTAATTTGGTTTATTTACAGTACATGTTTTAATGCTCCACATTGCCGTCTTTTGTAGCAGTGCTGAAAATAAAGGCAAATATAGGCAGAGAAAGGCCTGTGCTTTTGTCAGTCTGCAGGAGTTGAGGCAGCCAGACTGAGCTTCCGGAAACAGCTTTCTGCTGCTGCTGGCCAATGGGAGGGCCTGCGGTGCTTCTCCCCTGCCAACAGCTGCAGTGCAGTGCCATCCAAAGAGCACCAGAAGAGAGTCACAAACTCAGTCCAAATCCCTGATCATCTTTAGTCCCTGCTCGCTAAAGATGAGCAGCTTGCTTGATATTGCAGAGCCTCGGTTTCCCTGTCCAAGAGATAAGGATAATATAGCATGCTTTCAGTGTCTTGGGAAGACCGCTGCGGACTTCAAGGTTTTACGTGCACACAGTTGGTATTCCAAACATAAGATTTCCAGCTTTTTCAGCTTCAACCACAAACCCTCAGGATTCACCTTTCCCCAGCCTGTACCCACTTCTCTTTGCCAATCTTGAATAATTCCTCTTGGGAGCCATGTTCCTGGACAGGGAGCTCTGGGCTGCAAACAGAGACTGACTCGCTCTGTCTTAAGGCTGGTGGGTTGATCAAAAGGCAAACCGAGGTCTTCTAGAAGGCCAAGGACAGGACCTGAGCCAGACGGTGTTATGGCCTCTGCATCCAACATGTGGTAAGGCAGATCCTGGTCAGGAAGCTCCTCGAATCCTCCTTCTGGTGCCTCTGTCCACAAAGTTCCCTGCCCCTATGACTGGCTCCCTTCTGACCCAAACTCTACAGCATGGTAGGGCTCCCACTGCCAACTGTCCCCTCTTTCTGGGATGATGAAATGTCAAGGGAGAAAATGTGATCGAGCCAGTTCTAGCAGGGGAGCCAGGCTTTCACGTCCCTGGTTTCTGGCAGCCTGTTGACCATTTCCCTGGGTTCAGTTATCCATCCCTGCTCCAGTCACCTGTGAGCAGGATCGAGGCAAAGAACCTGGCCGCACCTCCTCTGCAGAGCCTCAGCCTGCTCAATGCTGGCCCCAAGCTCTGGATGTGCAGTATGGTATTTTGGCTTGGGTTGACCCCACCTTGCTCAAGACACATGACAAACGAATGGAGAGGACACGGGGTGGTAAGTGGATGTTTTTACGCTACAGAAGAAGATGGTGGGATGCACATGAATTTGACAGTCTTGTTCACTTTTTCTGCCCACCAAGGAGGTGAGAAGAGCTAGAACCCTGAGCTGCTGCCTGTGTCTCTCCTTCCCCGAGGCAGAGCTAAGGCGCTCCCTGTTTGCAGCATCACACCCATCTTGCCCCCTGACGTTGCAGCTCTCTCCTGGTCAGGTGTGAAAGCTGCCATTTCATGCTCATCTTCCCCAATTAACAACAGCTGGTCCTCTATAAAACCAACTGGTGAGATGGTTTGTTATTGGAAGACAATGCAACATCATTAGGCATTAATGGCTCCCAGCCTCGTTTACTGGGCTGAGTTCGCAGGGTTAATGTGGCGAGATGTTGGGCCTCACCCCGCAGCGCTACTCACCCCGCAGCGCTACTCCGCTCCTCTTCTATTTTTAGGCACCTTCTTCAAGCTTCATTTTCTGAGTCATGAACTGGGAGGTGGAAAAGGTGGTGGAGAGTCTTGATTTCCTGGAAGGGAAATTGTTCAGGAGGTGGTAGAACCATCACTTAGAAAACAGATCATTGCGGTATTTTAACTAAAAGAAAACAATTTTGAATTTAGGCATTTAAAAAAAGTTTTCTTTCTTGTGTCTGGATTAATCAGCCTGTTTACACCAGCAACTAGGCAAGTGCTCCCTTTTCCTCCTGTCTATCCCCAGAGCACCTCTGCTAGCTTACTTGGGACTCCTCGTGTTCCTAGTTTGAAAGGTAAGAGGTGAGTCACTGGCTGTGTCCAGACAAGAGCCCTTTCACTGGTAATTGAAGAGCTTGCCTGGGAGAGATGGTCCTGAAAGGGCTGGACCGAGAAGTCACACTAAATGCACATGGCATTGCGCATAACTTTGCTGCTGAGAGTACAAACTGGCCTCCTAATGGGAAGATTGTATCAGGTGCTTATTTTCTCATGACTTAAAACCAAAGACTGAGTCTGTGAATTACTCTTGATCTTACTACCAGTGACCAGTAAGGTTCCATAAAGCACTCTCCCCTGAGATAAACAAGTATGAGATCTCCGTGATAGTCATTCGTTCACGCAACAAACATCAAGAGACATCACACATACACCAACATTATGTATGCCAGGCTTTATTGACAAAAGGATCTGACATTCCCAACAAATGCAATAAGACCAAGTGAATCTCCTGAATTTTGCTAAAAGGAAGTTTTTATTCAAGAGTTTTTCTCTTTTTCCTTCCTTCCTTCCTTCCATCTCCTTCCTTCTTTCCTTCTTTCCCTCCTTTCTTCTACAAAAAATTCCCAAGCATTTATACTTACTATGAATTTGGTTAAGATTTGGTTTTTTGAACCAATAGGTGGAGTGGTAGTTAGGGCACTGGCCTCCTACATGACTGACTGTGGTTCAAATCCCATGCCTGGAGGCTTACTTTCTTATTTTCCCTCCCTCTCTATCTCTCTGTCTCTCTCAGGGGAGCACACAGGCCCTATAGTAAAAATTTAAAAAATAATAATCATAGTAATAATAAGTAACATTAAATAAATAATTGTTCATTAAAAACCTTTAGTTTTTCTGGGCTAAAGTAATAAGCAATTATCATCTGTGCAGAGTGGTCAGATGGCACCTCCCACAAGAGGAAGCCCAGGGCCCAGTTAAAGAGCCCTTGGACTGCTGGCAGCAGCTCTTGCAGCATGGGGTCTGTGCAGACCTGGAGGATGATCGGCAATGGCGGAGCAAAGCCTCTAGGCTGAGTCAATGCTTCTAGTTTCATCTCTCTTTGATGTTCAGGTAAATAGATCCTCTTTCAACTCTTCTAAGGTAATCAACAAATAGATGTCGAATCTACCCCTGGCTAAAGTTTTGTCAGGAGAAGAATACCCCTAGAGCCAGCCTGTTATGGAAACACCCATGCCAAGTAGAAGCTGAAACTTGGGGACCCTTATCAGACCTCTTACCTAGCCTCTGTACAGTGCCTAGAGTGAAGTCTCAGCCCTTCAGAGTTTTGAGCTGATGAAGGAAGACAATCCCTGCTCTTACATCCCAGGTAGGAGTAGATTAAAAGGACTCACTGTCTGTCCCACTCATGGGGCACTTAATCAAAGCATGCTATGAACACTCACTTTTAGTTCCTTGTCGTGTGGTCGTCTAACTTTTCCTGGAAGTAAGTGCGAACCTCCACCTACATGTTCCCAGAGAAAAGAAAGAAAGTCATATCTATATTCACATTATGTTTCAAAAACAAAATTAGCGCATGAGTTCTGCCAAAGGATTATTGTATCTTTTCTGAGAATAGGAAGCAGTCTAGAAAATTCAGTAGTTTAAACACCCACAATATTGTTATTTAGGGAAGTCAAATGGCTTAAGGGTGACATGGAAAGTCTTCCCAGCTTTTCTACTCATATACTTGCTGCGTGATGTGAGCAAGGATCTGACCTCTCTGGGTGTCGGTTTCCTGGTTGAAGATGGATTGTTCTGGAGAACAGATGGCTGCCCCTTTGCACCCATACCATTTCATATATGAGCCCAAGCCCAGCATGCAGCCAGATTCCTGAGAGTCCCTCAAAAGCATGTCAGGAATGAATGAATGAATAATAAACAGCATTTGGGGGGCCAACCCCATAGCATAGCAGTTAAGCACTGTGCAGTGGGAGCCAGTTCCCACGTGGCTGACCATGACTCAAATCCAGGCCCTGGCGCTTGAAAAACATACCAGGTGTATGGTGTGGGTGTCCAAAGTTCTGACAGATAGTGAAATGGGGAGAAAACTTCCAAATGAGCATGACTACGCTCCATTAGGGGGTGCTTACTCTCTCTCTCTCTCCCTCTCTCTTTCTCTCTACTGCATGAGCCCTCTGACAATAAAGAAAGGACAGGGAAGAGAAGTGAAAATATCCCAGCATTTTATAAGTGGGAGACATACTCCAAATGGCCACCCCACCCCCAGGCTCTTTGTAGTAGAACTTTTGGAAAATCTCTCTAGCTGCAGCTTTGTCTGGCTGCTAATTTCCTGCAAACCAGCTGACCTGTATTTACAGTATCCACATTTGTTTTGGAAAAAATCCAAATGTCCACTTAACTGGGCAGGAGTCCAGCATAATCTTGCTATATTGTTTGTAACCATGAGATTAATGGTGGGCCTTGCTCCGAACTTTGGGGTGACATCATTCACCTGAGGGTATCTCTGCTGCAGATTACAATAATGTGTTGTCATTATTGTGCCGTCCTCCCGTTCTATTTTAGAAGCCTTGGCTTCTGCAGGGAGGTGGCGTCAGGGACAGAAAGCATCACTTTATAGAGGCAGACCGTGGTAAGGATGAGATAAGATCCAAATCCTGGCCCATCATATACCAGCTGCATGACCTTGGGCAAGTCGCCTAATTGAACCTCAGCTTCTTTGTAGGTAAGTCATAGCTCTTATATCACACAGTTTTTTGTTTGGTTTGGTTTGGTTTTAATTCACCAGAGGGCATGTGCACTTGCAGGAGAGAGACAGAAAAAGAAAGGAAGTGAGAAATCACCCCACAGGGAATGAATCACCCCCCAGAGAAGCAATGCCTTCTCCATTTCTCCTTCCTTGTAGGATTTTGGGTACACACACACACATACACACACATACACACACACATGCCCAGTGTGTTTCTCAAGCTACTAGGTCCAGGGACCCAAACCAGGCAGTCAGGCATGTGGGGATCCATGCCTTAACTGCCACGCCACTGGCTGGCCAAATATCACATAGTTACTATGAGGATTAAATAAAGTTCTTCCTAAATGCCTTTGTCCTATGCACTGACACCCATAATCATACATTTCCGTTACCAATGGAAAAATGGTTGAACAATTTATTTGATGTTAAAATAAAACATGGGCTAGAACTCAACAACAATGAAAATAAACAAGCTCACTAAAAGAAGGCAAAGAACTTGGGTAGACATTTCTTGAAAGAAAACATATCAGTGGCCAATAAAGACACAAAGATGTTCAACACCACTAATCAATTGGGAAATGCAAGCTGAAACTATAATGAGAGTCTACTTCACAGTCACTAGAATGGCTGTTACAGGGACCAGCAGATGGCGTAATGGTTACATAGCTGGACTCCTCTGTAGCTGACGGTGGTTTGAGTCCCAGATCCAGCTGCTTAAAACTCACAATGGATGCGTGTGAATGCATGCCCAAGAACCCCAAAGGAGAATGAAGGAAAAGGGTTCATGGCATAGCTATCCCCCCTAGGGAGTGATTTCTCACTTTCTCTCTTCTCTCTCTCTGTGACTCTCTGGCAAGTACACATGCTCTATAACAAAAATATCTCTAAGAAAAGATTTTTGAATAAAATTAAATTTAATTTTAAAAAAAGGCTATGGTTCAAGAGCCTGAACATAGAATCACCATGTTCCAGCAATTCCAATTCTGAGTATACACCCAAAGGCAATGACAGCAGGAACTTGATCAGCAATTTGTACATCTGGGTTCATAGCAGCATGAGTAACAATAGTCAAAACCCATAAATAATACAAAGTGTCTATTGTCAGATGAGTGGATAAGCAAAATGTGGTATATCCATATAATGGTATATCCATATATAAAAAAAAAGGACCTCCTGACACATGCAACAACATGCATGAACCTTGAGGACATTATGCTAAGTACAATAAGGCAGACACCAAAGGACAAATGCTATATAATTTATATAATTCCATGTATATAAGGTACTTAGAGTAGTCAAATCCATAGAGACAGAATGTAGAATGGTGGTTTCCAAGGGCTGTGGGGAAAGAAATAGAGAGTTAGTTTTAAGTGGGCAGAGAATTTCAGGAAGAAACTTCCAGAATTTCTCTAATGCAGGAACTGTATGTTCATCTTCTCATCCAGCACCCGGTATCCATTACTGACCCGAACTACGATCTTAAGGAAAGGAGCTTCAGCAAGTGACAAGGTCCTGGGTGCACACACACAGACTGAGAGAGGGAGAGGCAGCAGCATTGAAAGCGCTGCGGGCAGTGTGGGCAGGCACTAGGAAAAGTCTGTGCACAGGTTAACGCGTGGTCTTGGCAAGAGCTGTGAGGGCAGTGAACTGGGCCTGCTGCAAATCTGTACCCCTAGTTCTCAGCCCAGGGCCAGGTAGTAAAAAGAGATGGTCCAGAGAGTGGGTTCCTCCATCAGGCTGACTCATCCCGGCCCCAGTGGTTACCAGCTGTGCAGCCCAGGGCAAGCTGTTTTATTCTATGTGCCTCCTATTTTTCTGCTGTCAAATATAGAGATGGCATTAGTATGACCTGGTGTTGCAGAGAAGATTGAAGGAAGAGCAAGCAACATGGAGGGTCGAGCCTGGTGCCCCACCTGCAACTCAGTCACTCCATGTGACCGCCTTTGCTGTGAGGGGAGCCTCTTCCCATCCCTATGAAGGCTCCACCCTGGGCCCCCTCTGCGCCCCCTCCCCACCCAAGCCTCAGAAGAGGGGGTGGGTGGTTTGGCATTAAACAGCCTGGATGAAATGCTTTCTGCTAGCAATTGCCTTCATTGCCAGCCATAAAAATACATCTATATTTAAATATGCCTAGATAATTCTTAAGTTTTATTAGTACTTAAATATTTTGGCATGTTTATTTCTCCTGGAACAATTATGGAGGTTTCATTGTTTTACTTGCAAAAAAAAAAAAAAAGAGAGACTAAATCTCCTTTTACAATAAACCCCCTGACAGGTTGAATATGGCGCTATCCCCAGTGCGTGTCCGTCTTTGTCTTGTCGGCTCCCAAGATATGGAAGCAGAACTGGGGGAGCGAGAGCGGGGAGGAAAGTGGACCTCAGATATGTCCCTTGTCCATGACCCTGGACGTCTCCTGCTTATCATCCCAGTGGCTCTCTCCTTCCTCCTGCACCTGCCCTGCAACCTGTCCTGGGGACCATATTTCTCGGGCTTCCACTGAGCCCAGCCAATGGGCAGCTGAGGCAGGTGATCCCACGGAGGGAAGAAATAGAAATAAGAGCGTAGAGCCCTCTGGCTCCCTCCTCTCAGGTCACTGAGGGCTGGCCTAGCCCTCTGCCAACTATCTGTGTACAGCCCTTGCTGCCTCCCTGTTGGGGTGACTGCATCCTGCCCTGCCTGTGCAGTGTCTTCACAGATGGGTGGCAGTGGCACCCACTCCTGCTGGCCTCTGCTTGTTGCACTGTCTCCATGGTTTCCCTCCACCCTGGCCCGCTTCAATAGAGTCCCTTAATGGTCCCATCTGAGCTGTTTCTTGCAGGGACCAGGATGAGCATGGAGCTATCGGAGGGCCTTGCCTGTGTGGGCCTTTGCCATGGAGGAAGCACTTTTGAATCCAGGATTGTGGTGATTCCTCAAAACCATTCTGTAAGTGTAGAGGGTGGGTTGCTTCCCTTATTTTATTTGTGGAAACATGTCGGCCCAGGGAGGTCACTCGCCCAGCCCAAAGTCACACAGTAGGTAGGCAAAGGAGAGAGGACTGAAGCCCCAGGCTGCTGAGCTCCAGCGTCTCCCACCCTTCACAGCTGGCAGTGGTGGGCAGTCTGACAGGGGAATGGAGAAGCAGAGAGGGCATTTCTTCTTGTATCATGGAGAACTGTTGTCACCTGCTTTCCAAATCACTAGTCTCCTTCCTGGAGCTCAGAGACAAGGGGAGACAAAGGCCTGGCCCAATCCCTGTTTAAGCTCTGCGATCCTGAGCACAGCTCTCTGGGTCTTCATTTCTCATTGTGTTATCCATATGACACAGGGACCAGGCTCAGAGCCAGTGACCACATCAGCCCTAAGGTGACAATCACGAAGGGCTACTGCGTGTGCGCCATGTGACTAGAATGTTCTAAGCTCTTCACATGCAGTGTCTGGCTGAAGTAGCTACTGTTATTATTGCCCTCACTTGACACCAAAGTAAGAGAGGTCCATGGGCCCATCCTCTACCCACTACTGGCACGTGAACACAGGCCCAGAGCCCACTGTCAGCCTTCAGAGTAGGAGAGCTGGGTAGGCATATGCCCTCGGGATATCCAGCCTCAGTGACTTTGCAGAACAGAGCAATCACCAGGCCAGTATCACACAGTAATGAGCAGCCTGATCTCGGGCCCCAAATTCATAGATAATCCTTTCGGAGTTGCCAAAATATGAAGGACTAAAGGTCAGTTCTTATAATCCATTTTTCCGCAAGGTCAGTCTGGCAGTCTGT